GGGGTGTTTATGACGCGGGCACTGACAGATGAACGAGCTCAGCAATAAGGAAGCCCGTCGAGAATGAGGGTTAAGTGTGATCGTAAAAGACGCCGAGGAAAACCCAGCCTCGTTTGAAGAAAGAACACAGCGACATGGAAGAGAAGAACAAAAGAACGAAAGAACAAAAGAGATATCGAGGAGGATAGACGAACCTGAAGATTGCGAGAAACCAGAAAATGTTAACGAACAGACGCCCTTCACCTTCTTCTCACTTCCCCTCCTCACGTGTGCATGCCTCATTCCTGGAACATTTTCCTCTCCAGTGAGTCAAACTCATTCTGTTGGTTGGCGAATAGAGGTGGGCTAAATCCGGATAATCTATTTATAAGGATAACCGGATAATTCTCAATGAAACATTACCCGAATCCAGTCTCCTAACTCTCTTTCGTCACCTGTTTGCAGAAGAGGGAGCACTATTGTTGAAGTTGTTCTAACCCGTTTTTTGAAGTGGCTCTGACCCATTTGCCGAACCTGTTTATGTCATATTATTTGCCGAAGATGTGCACTGGGGGCTCTCGTGGCCTAGAGGTTAAGGTGTTGGCCTGTCATTCAAAGGTCCCGGGTTCGAATCTGGGTAGCGACCGAAAAATTTTCTTCTCTAAATTGTCTCTTTTCCTGCTCTATAGTAATGTTCTGTCGTCTGCTTTCGTCTCCAATGTAACTTCCAGATTTCTAAATAATTCGATCTAATATGTATTGTCAGTAAATCATCATCATCATCATCATCATCATCATCATCATCATCATCATCATCATCATCATCATCATCATCATCATTCTCCTATAATAAAGCAATGACGACTCTTTGTCTTTAGCATCCGTGGATGAAAAAAAGTTACACAACTTGCAAGCAACAACATGTTATTGTAGTCAATTAACAAATTTTAGATAAAACATTATCACTCCTCACCTTTCTTATTAGCCAATAAAATATAACCTTGTTCAACACGCACAACATTTATGTTGACTGTTTAGAAACTCCTAAATATAATCATTGCTATTTTTTTTTCAACTCAAAAGGAGAATAATGTAATACCCTAAAACAATTAAACGGCTTGAAAGCTCAGCAAAGATTAAAGGAGAATTAACTATAAACACGGTCTTCGACCATGTCAATGAGGTCTGTTATCAAAACAGCCAACAATTGCAGGGCTGTTTATTATTTACCTGTCGAAAATCTACACCATCCTTCATCTTGGGACTGATTTGAGGCACCTGTGTATGATTTCTGATAGTCTGGCAGCGTCTTTTGCCAAGCGTTGACCTTAGAAACTGTGAGTGTGTGGATTAACAGAACGTTCTTTGTTTTCGATTTGCCTCTACCTGCTCGGTTTTCATCGAACGTTGTTTGTGTTAGCGTGCATTTTTTAAAATGTATGTGTGTGTTTGGTGTGGGG